TTGACCAAATCGGATACTCCCTTCGAGAGTTACCGTGCGCACTAGCCAGCCATACAGACAGACGGACGGACATCCCTAGATCGACTACAAATGTACTGAAACGTATTTGGTCCAAAGAGGTCTAAAACCGTTATTTGGATTAGGCAGGCAAATGATATATACCCTCTCTAGCCATATGGCTGAGGGTATAAAAATTGTGTCGCACTTGAAAAATCACTGGGAATAGTGACTCCAGAGCTCAGGTGATGGCATCGACTTGTAGCTGCAAAATTCCATCATGGAAGGTCAGATCACCTTCCTGGTAATGCACCTACCAGCATACCTATTACCCTCGATGACACCGAACAACAGGAGGCAAAAACACATGATTAATCCGACTTTGAATTTTACTCCAATCAGAATAATTGAATACTTTAAGCTATTTAACACAAAATGATTATTTAATATTTATGGCATTGGATACAAAAAATTCGGCCAAAATTAATGTTTTGAGAAATTAATAAAAAAAAGAAATAAAAAAACTCGCTTTTTGTTTTGCTTAAACATCGCAATTTCATTTTCTATTCTAACCTGCTAATAAAAGTTAATTTAAATTTTTTTCTCTTAAAATTATAACAATGAATTATATTTATGTTTATTTGTAACTCTTTTTGTTTTTGGTTTTTCTTTGCATATCAAATATATAAAACAGTTATTTATTTTTGATGCTTTTAATTATTACTTTTTGAATGGTTAATAATAGTTATTTTTTTATTAATGTATCTTTTTATTAGCATTCCTTATTTACTTTTTTTGTTTATTACAATCATATTTTATTGATTAAAGCTTTATTTAATTTTTTGGTATTTCATTACAAAAATCTTTAGTTGTTTTAATTCGTTTAATTTCCTTTAGGGGGTGTCTAAACAAAAATTTGGCAACATCCTGCAGTCCTGTTCGTATTTTTGTTCACTTTATTTTTGGTTCTATATATATTTTTGTAGTATATTGTTGTTTATCTATGAAAAAAATATGAGAACTTTTTTTGTTAATATTTTAGTTTGTTTTTCTATTATTATAAATTTTAAAAGTTTCTTTTTTTTTGTTTGTTGGAAAAAGGATATTCACTCTTTTTATAAGCTTTTGGTTATGTTCGTTTGGTTCCCATAGTTTTGTGTGTGGTAAAAAAGAGAGAGATAGAGAGATTGAAATTTTGATTTAATTTTAAGTTTTTCTTCTTTTAATATAAAGTTGTATTGGTAAAAAATTTTAAGATAATTTCAAGGAATTTGAAACTGCAGAGCATTCTTCAATGTTCCAGAAATCAATGAAGACAAAATGTATCATATTTCCCTTCATAAAGGGACATTAAGTTTAGTATTAAACTAGATATCTTCACTGACCTCTTCCTTAGAATCTTTTCATTGAAGTTGCAATTTTTCCTTATTTAATTATATATTTCTTCAATTATTAAATTAAATTTCATTTGCCTGTTTTGTTTATTAATATAATAACAATAATTACTTGGATTTTCTATTCTAAAATTAATTTTTAAAATAAATCATTTTTGTATAACTAATTAAATATTTCATTGTTCTAATTGTAAATGAAACATTAGCACAACTCTAAGCTTGTCTTAAGTATATTTTCCAAAGTGTTCTTTTACATTAATTTTTACTTAATTCAATTTCGTTATACAATTCAGAGGTGTTTTCAAAATTTCAATAACACTGTGCAACACAAAAAACACTTACGGGGAAATCCAGCTGATTATAAAGGAAGAGCTAACAATTAAAAAAGCAGCTTAGTTCGGTCGGGCCGAACTTTTAATACCCTCCACCATTTTGAAGGAACTTGAAAAATTAAAAAAAAATCCGTAAAAAATACATCTCAAATGAAACCCCTTATATGGGGCTATACAAAGACGTTTTCCTTCATAAGTAATTATTTTCTTCATAGACTGTAGAACCCATTACGAACTTCATTTGCGAAATTTGAAACAATTCTGGTGAATAATACCGCTTAAGTCCAACTAACTTCAGACTGCTGTCATTTCTAAGCCACTCGCCCGGCAGCTGTTAAAATTATTCCAGTGACAACTCATTATATTGTTTACAAGCGTACAGAAGCATTTTGGTGAGAAATTTCCAGAAAAAAATTTATTAGTGGTGGAATTCAAGCGTGATAGTGTGATTTCTTTATATTTGGCTGGAAAACCACAAGTGGCTATCGTTAGAGCACTCCACCATTTAAATGTGAATAAATCTTTTGTGTCTCGTATCATCGCTCGTTACCGTGATACTGGTACCATAGCCTAACGTCAAGGAAGTGGACGGAAGAAAACAGCAACATCAGCAGAAATGGTTCGAAAAGCAAAGAAGCGACTTGATCGAAAACCCCCTGTCGCAGTGGCTGAAAAATGGCTCGTGAGCTGAATATATCGCAATATTCCATTTGCCAAATATAGAAAAATGAGCTCGGGGTAAAGCCATTGAAATTCCAAAAAGTGCAAGAACTTACACCGCAACAGAAAGAAAATAGACTCAAAAGAGATAAAAGTTGCTTCGCTTGGCGGACAGTGGTGAACTGCCGAATTTGGTTTTCTCCGATGAGAAAACATTCATTGTCCAGCAGTTTGTAAACAAACAAAATGATCATGTTTGCTTGCCAAAGAGATCAGCTGAAAATGTGCACCTTCAGTTGGCCACTGGCAGCCATAACAGCCGATGGTCGCTCTCCGCTCGTATTAATCGACCGTGGCATCAGAATAAATACCGAATATTATCTCGAAAATATTCTGGAGTGTGTATTAAATCCTTGGGCACGCACACATTTTGGCAGACCTTGGATATCTAACAGGACTCAGCACCATCGTACTCACCACGCGCCACCCAAGAATGGTTACAAAATGAGGTTCCTCGCTTCATTTCCAGCGCATAATGGCCACCAAAAACGGATACCAATCCTTCGGACTATTGTGTCTGGAGTATTTTGGAAAGCAAGGTTGGCACTAAAAACACCAAAGTATCGATCATCCCAGACAAGCGCTTCGCCGGGAATGGGACAAAATACCGCAGAGCAACATTCGGGCAGCGTGTGACAGTTTGATTGGCCGTTTAAAGGCCATAATTCTTGTCAAAGGTATGCAATTAGAACAAATATAAACATATTCTAAAATGTGATGCTATTTCAGACATTTTTTGCTTTCATTCAATAAAATTGAAAAAAATATATATATAAAAATTATGGCGTTTGACTCTTTTGCAGTTTTTATCCCACCCTGTATATAACATATTAACATATTAAGTAAACCGATTTTTTTTTGCTCAGAGACTCACAATAAAATTTGATTTGAAATAATTCTCCGTTCAATACTTTTCACAAAAAAATTAAGTATTAAAGGAGATTTTGATTCCGATACCTGTTAAATTAACAGTATGAAAAGAAAAGGCATCATTTTCATTTGTAATACACAATTTTTGAATGTAATTTTCCTAAAAACTATTGTACCTAGGTATATGGTTTGTTCTCAGATTTATAGTGAAGTGTTGTGTAGAACTTCTTCTTTTGTCGCCTTCCGCCTAAAACGGATTTGTTTAAATTATTATTAATTATTTAATTATTGAAGAATTTGATTTTGTCGCACAGTGTAATCGAGTTTATTATAACCTCAAAAAGTTTTGCCAATAACATCAATTCTTTATGCTGCATAAATTATGTAAATCAAAAATAATAGTTGATAGGAAATTATTTAAAAAATGAATATTCCCAGCATTGAAGATCTAGAGAGATATCTTTAGATAACATATTCAAATAACATATAATCGGTTGGAATCTAACTCACAGTCTAAAGTAATGGTAGCCGCCTCCAAAGTCTCTGGAACGACCTCGTTGGCGAAATTACTGTCAGTGTCCGGAAGATCCAGGATGATATCTTTAGAATCGTTTAAATCATAACTATCTTCAATACAACATATAATCGGTCGGAATATATCTCACAGTCTGAACTAATGGTACCAGTCTCAACAAGTCTCAGATATGAACTCGTTGCCAAAACTACTATCAGTTTTCGGTAAAGCGGATGCTGGGCCATTAATGGGAGTGAAGAAAAAAACTAATAAACTCCAGCTACTAAAAATATTACAGAAATAAAAAAATAAAAACAAATGTCATATTTTTTAGTCATAATGTTTGCATAAAAATTAAAATTTTATTTCAGTTTTTTTATTGTTGTTGCAATTGTCATGTACATAAAAAAATCATAGTAATAATAATAATGTATAAATTTTCAATTTACAATTATTAACTAAGTTTAAGATTTATAAATGTAAAAAAAATATTTTTTCCATTTTTTTTTTCAGAAAAGAAAAAATCAATTTTTTTTCCTCTTCTTCAGTTTGTCTTCACAAAATAAAAATACAACTACTCCTTAAATGCTCAAAAGCTAGCTTAGATAATAACAAAAATAAATTAAATTTAACTATACACTAAAAAACAACTAAAATTTAACAGTTTAATAATAATTATTTAATAATAAAAAAATCATAAAAATTATAAAAAATATATATATGTTTTAAACAAGTCATCATGATGGGTGAAATTCTTAAAAACGAAATCTAACAAAATAAAATATTGCATTTTTTGTTTTCAAATGTTTAGAGATTGTTTTTTATCTGAAACAAATATTTCTTTTTCTGAAGTTGTAGTCATCAAAAAAGATTTTACAAAAGTCGAAAGATTAGTTTAGAGAGGAAGTTGTTTTTAATTTATATAAATAACACATGGGTGGAACAGAGCATATTGAAAGGGGTTCTTAAAAAGAATTTACTGAATTCGAAGTAGTTAAAGGTAAAATATTGGAAACTAAACACCGAACACTTCAAACGCTGTTCCCGAATCTGCAAAAATCTACAATAAACGATTTTTTCCTTTTTGATATCGAAAAAATTGAAAAACTTAGTAGATGCTTGCCGGTCCTGGAACAGGGCAAATATTATAAGTAATGAAAAATATCAATATAATTCAGATTCGGTTAATTTAAAATTGCTATAGGTTTCAAGGCAGCTAACTTAAAGAAAATGCATTGATTTTTTCTAAGCTGGAATGCTTATCACGCTCTCTGTGGCAAACAAATGACTAAATGTCTTGGCTTAGACTCTCAGCTAAATCCAACCCATGTGTTATAAACTTTCTAATAGAATTTCGTATATAAAGAAATGCATTTTATCTTTTCACATATTTAAACATCTTTGGATTGTTTTTGTGTTTTTTACTAAATTTTATAATCCACAATATTTATATTATCATTATTTTTTGTGGGTGAAGGATATATCTTTTTATGATTTTTCTTTGTTTAGTAGAAATATAAATATATAGATTTTTTTTCAATATTAATATCATTTGTTTTTTTTTTTTTACTTTCTTGTCGTTAATATGTGTGATTTTTAGTTTTGTTAAGAGTGATGCTTTTTTGTATTTTAATATATTATGTTTTAATACTATATCATTTTTAAATTAATATTTTTGTTATTTCATCTTATATAAAACATAATTTTTTTAGTTCACAAAAAAATTGTTTATGATAAGTTTAAATATTATAATATAAATATTTTCTTGTTTTTTTTTTAATTGTTTATTTTTAGTATTATTGTGTGACGTCCATGGTTGAGATGAGTTTTATTTTCTTTGTTTTAGTCCACCCAGTTTGGAGTGGGTTATTCTATTAAACTAGCATCTAAATGTTTCATTAGATTTTTCCACTTAATTATTGCTGATTTTGTGAACGAGATTCGAACATGGCGGTAACATCACGTATGGAAAATTGTGGTGAGATTTTTTCACGGCTGTAAAGAACAAAAAGAGAAAATATAGATTAACTGTAGTTCTTAAGAAAAATCAAATATTTTGTATATCCTCCACCAAACATAGTATGGAGGGTATATTAAGTTCATCATTCCGTTTGTAACTCATCGAAATTATGTTTTTAGACCTAACAAACCATATATGTTCTTGATCAGCGTACAATTCTAAGACGATTTACCACTGTCCGTCTGTCTGTTGTAATCATGATAAAGTCAAAACGAATTAAGATAGAAAGCTATAATTTTGCACAGATCAATCTTTTGTCTGCAGGTTAGATTCGAAGATGGGCTATATTGGTCCCCGATATCATATAACCCCCTCATAACGGTACTCCCGATATTTGGTATTTTGAAGATTTTTAATGGAATTTTCTGAAAATCCACACAAGAAGTTCCTTCTAAGTAGCTTAGCCCCTGAAAGAGACTTGTGTATATAGGTTCACGATATCGCATAGCCCTTATAAAACGGTACCCCTGATATTCGATATTTTAATGATTTTAGCGATATTATTTACCGTAATTCTTTCAAATTTCGTATTTGAAGTCCGCAATGGGTACTTCAGCCTATAACAAATTGTCTATGCAGGTCCAGGTCTTCGTAGAGTCTCCATATAGCAGTACCTTCCTATATTCGGTATTTTGATGATTTTAGCGACATTAATCTAATTTCGTATTTGAAGTTCGCAATGAGTACTTCAGCCTATGGCGAAAAAATGCTTGTGCAGGTATAACCTTCATATAACAATACCTCCCGATATTCTATATTTTGATAAATTAATTTTATAAATGACACCGGAAACTTGTCTATGTAGGTCAACGTCACATACAGAGTGAGATGAAAAACTACAACCAACTTCAGACTGCTGTCATTCCGGCAGCTGTTAAAATTATTCAAGTGACAGCCAATTATATTGTTATATGCGTACAAAAGCTTTTTGGTGAGAATTTACCAGAAAAAAATTATTCGTGATTTATATTTGCCTGGAGAACCACAAGTGGCTATCGTTAGAGCACTCCAGCATTTAAATGTGAATAAATCTTTTGTGTCTCGTACCATCGCTCGTTACCGTGATACTGGTAGCAAGCCCGACGAAGAAATGGTTCGAAAAGTAAAGAAGCGACTTGATCGAAACTCACGTCGCAGTGACCGATAAATGGTTAGTGAGCTGAACATATCGCAATATTCATTCAGCAAATATTAAAAAATGAGCTCAGGATAAAGCCATTGAAATTTTCAAAAAGTTCAAGAATTTACACCCCAACAGAAAGAAAATAGACTCAAAAGAGCTAAAAAGTTGTTTTGCTTGGCCGAAAATGGTGAACTGCAGAATTTGTTTTTCTCCGATGAGAAAACATTCGTTGCCCAGCAGTTTGTAAACAAACAAAATGATCGTGTTTACTTGCCAAAGAGGTCAGCTGAAAATGTGCACCTTCGTTTGGCCACCAGAACTCAAGCGCCGGCCATGGTGATGGTGTGAGCCGCCATAACAGCCGATGGTCGCTCTCCGCTAGTATTAATCGACCATGGCATCAGAATAAATGCCGAATATTATCCTGAAAATATTCTGGAGGGTGTATTAAAGCCTGGGGCACGCAAACATTTTGGCCGCAGTCCTCGAACATTCCAACAGGACTCAACACCATCGCACTAAGCACGCTCCACCTAAGAATGGTTATAAAATGAGGCCCTTCGTTTAATTTCCAGCGCACAATGCCCACCAAAATCTCCGGACACCAATCCGTTGGACTATTGCGTCTGGCGTATTTTGGAAAGCAAGGTTGGCACTAAAAAATATCAAAGTGTCGATCACCTCAAGTAAGGGCTTCGCCGGGAATGGGCCAAAATACCGCAGAGCAACATTCGGGCAACGTGTGACGGTTTCATTGGCCTTTGAAGGTCATAATTCGTGCCAAAAGTGACCAATTCAAACAAGTCTAAGCTTATTCTAAAATTTGATGTTATTTCCGACATTTTTGCTTCCATTCAATAAAATTTTAAAAAAAAATGTAATAATTATGGCGTTTGACTTTGTGGCAGTTTTTGTTATCTCATCCTGTATGGTTTGTTCTGAGATTTATAGTCAAATTTAATGTAAGATATTTCTTCTTATGACATCATCTGCCTACAACCAAATTTTATGGCACTTTAAGTCGTCAACTCGGAAAAAGCCTCTACAAAAAAATTATTTAAAAAATCAATACTTTTGAATTCTTCGGGTACATTTTTTGATATACAATGGAAATAGAGATGATGAAGATGAATAATATTTTTGTCTTTGATGTCATCCTTCTAAAATGACGCTTTGTTAGAAATTTTAGTAGAAAATTAAAAAATGGAGAAATCTAGCTGTACTTGACAGCAATTTTCGATATTGGATTGGCTTTGAGGAACATGAAGCTTGAATCTATCCATAAAACTTTCACAATTATAAATTAATCTCTTCAACTCTTCCCTGAAAGTGACTCATTCTGTAAAATATTGATATTTCAATAACCCAACTTGAAATAGTTTATGCCCATAATCTACTGAAATATTTTTACTCACTTGGATGATATACTATTACGTGCTGCTGGCGACAGTCCGGTAGAGCCCAGTTCATGTGTTGTCTTCACAGAAGAACGTTCCCTTGCCAATGGTGTCGTGGAATTAACTCCATTTGCAAAATCCATACTCTTACGTTCAAACTTTTGTACTGTAGCTCGTGCCGAAAATTCCTCCTGATCTGCAGACGTCATTCCGCCGCTGGATGCTGTTGACGATGTTGATGTGGGTTTCGTTGTATTGCCTCTGTTTAGAGAATGTTGTGAACGTTTAATAAATGAATCACCGCCACCACCACCGCCGGCATTATTGGCATTCGTTTGATCGTAACTATTTTGATTCTTTTCATCCGATATGCTACGCACACGATGTTGAGTATTCAATGTGGTTTCGGATACCGCTGATGAGGGAGGATTACGACCAAATTCTTTCAGATTATCCATGTCTTTTTGTAGGGTACGCATGTCGGCTCGAGATTTCGATTTGACTCTCAGTGAAGTATTGTCGGGAGAGAATTTATCATCTTCATTTTTGGTAAGATTTAAATCTGTTTTAGATTTTGATTTAAAAGAGTCGGCATGATATTTTTGAGTCAACTGTTGACGCCGTTCCTCCTTAATGCGATCAATGCGTTCCCGATCCAATTTTACACCCGACAAAACTTTCAGATTTGTGGAAGGTGTAGTGGCTCCTCCATTGCCGGCATTGGTAGGTGATGTTGAAATATTGGAATTATTAAGATCGGCAGTATTTTCAGGATGAACATTATTTTGTATCAGAGAAATGCGATTTTCTGTTGTGGGGGTGATTTTCAAATCAGCCGTTTCATAGTCATGTTCTAGAGTGTTGTTGAAATTCTTTTCTTTTGGTAAATCAATCTTAAGCGTTGTCTTATCGTTGTTGGCCTTGGAAGCACAATATTCCTCTGTTATGGGCATACCAGGCAGTCTTTTGGGTGGATTTAAAGTTTTTGGTCTGGTAAAGTCAAAACTTTTCCTACGATTTCCTGCCTCATTGGCGGACTGTTGTGTAAGCTGTTGTGAGCTTTTCAGTTCCTGTAGATTTTTATTGCCAAATTCACGTATGAAAGCATTTTCATCCAGAGATCTGGTAATTTGTTGGCTTTTGTTGAGTTTTTGTTTTAGGCTAGCCGTTTGCTGCTGCTGTTGTTGGTGATGTTTCGAAGACCTTTCAGGATGTGTGGCTGTATTCAAGGTATTAGGTTTTCTTATGGAACTTCTGTTGCCCGAGAAATCAAAAGCTGGCATTTGCTCCACGGGTGAGACTTCAAATTTGGTAGCCAATTCCTTGACACTAAAATTCGAGGGGGATCTTCTTGCAGTATTGGCAATTTCTATGGTCTCGGATTCTTGATCCTTAATGCTATCCAAACTATCCAATTCCACCTCGGGATCTTCATAGCTATCCGGATTGCTTGATTCCTCTTTGAGCAAGGCCTTCATCTCTTCACCCATCAGATTCTGATAGACACTATTCGGTTTTCTCATCTCCACATTTTCATACAACAATTTCTCCTCATCGGACATTTGTATGTCATCACCGTGAGTGTCGATTGGTGTCGAATCCTTTTCACTTTCACTCAATTCCTCAACTTCAGCTAAATTCTCCAGTTCTTTTTGTGGATATTTGCGATCCTCACTCAACAGCTGATTGACCTCGGTAACAGAATTTCTAAAGAATTTCACCTGCTCATAGACTGTGTTCTCATCGAATGAGGTCTCCAGCAATGGTTTGGTGGAATGTGATTGTTTGTCTTCCTTGTGCCTCATAAAGCTGGGTCTCTCCTTTGTGGGACTTTTAAGATTATATGTAATGCTAATGGTGGATTTAATTGGACTAGCTAAGGTTTTTAGGGGAGAATTCAGATTACTGGGTGTGTTCTCATATTCCTCATAGGCTGGTGAGTTTTCATCGGTCTCAATGAGAGAATGCATGCTCAATTGCCTTTGCAGATTCTGATAGCCATATTCACTGGGCGTTACCGATTGACTGGTGTTGTCGGTGAAATTGGAATTGGGTGAAATTAAATTATGATTGCGTTGTATTGAAGATTCTGCTGTGAGTTTGGAACCACCCACCGGATTGAGGTCAAGGGATAGTTCGCGTTTTAAAGCCTGCATATCACGTTTTTCGATTATCTAGAATGAAAAAAGATGAATTTTTGGAATTACTAGAAATTTCAATAAGGGAGGAAGCATGACACTTACATTTGATCCTATACTCTCAGCAGAGGTGCCCAGATAACTGCCTGTATCCACACCCAACAGCATTTGTTGCATTTGATTCGAGGAGGCAGCCGAAATGCCTGATATGCCAGACATTGCTGATGACACCATTAGCGGATCCAAATCATGTTGTGGTGTATTTACAGCTGAACTATTCTCAGAACTTGTATCGCCCACCAGCAAAGAATACCGGGGACTTTGTATGGGTGATGAAGGTGTCACAGACAGCTTCGATTGTTCCATTTCATTGGTGTGATGATGACTTTGTGACAGCTTATGATTGTGCGTATCTCTACTACTTTCTTTGGTTATATCGCGCAGCAGTTGTTGTTGTTGTTGCAAAGCATCATTCGTCACACAATAGCTGTTGCGATTTTTAACTTTAAGCAGATCATATGATTGAGGTTTGGCTGTTAAGTGATGATGCTGATGATGTCCACCGGATGGTTTCGGTGAAGAGCTATTGGAATTTGTCGATTGATTGGCACTAAAGGAAACAGTTCTGAAATTGGAGGGATGAAAAGTCGTTATAATTTTATAAAGAAGATAGACTTAGTGGTAGTATCTTTTGAAAGTACATCAGATCATTGAACATTACTTTGCGTTGTAAATTTGTCTTGTTTTATGAAATGTTTAATAAAAAATTGGAATGAAAATTTAACCCCTCTGGTTTTTAGCCCATAGCCTTTAATTTGTAACCAACTACCAGTGACCTATGGCAAATTTCTTTGGCTTTGTCCTATGGTCACATGCATTTCACATATTTATAATAACCTTGGCATATTTTACTGACATTTGATCTATTCAAACCTCTCTTACCTTGTTTTCATTTGTGGAGATTCTTCTGCCTTCTTCTGGGCAGCTGAAGCTGCTGCCGCAGCCTCCACTTCTTCGACTAACATCTTGGCAAAGGTCTCCTTGCTGGATAGACGTCGTTCATTGCTCACCCCCGTTCCGGGAAAACTAAAACGTTCTTTGGAATTGCCCACCGTTGTTTTATTATTATCCTGATCCTTACGCTTGGAACCCAACTGTACAGAGGGATAGCTATAACGGGTACTAGAATTAGACGAAGTCTTTTGGGCATCCATTGGCACTTGTTGCCTTTGTTTGGTAGGGGTGGTAATTTCCGTTGTGGAACCTGCAGCGTAGAGGGATGTCGCCGAAGTTTGACTGGATGTTGGTGGTGGTGGTGGAGCATGAACTTGAACACTGGCATACAATGTCTGGGGATTGGCCACAGTATGTTCGGGTGTACCACAGTCTATATACTGTATATCAGACAATTGGTCTTCCAATTTGTAACGTTTGCAACAGCTTTCATCGCTGTTGTGTTCATGGCAGGTTTCGCCATGGCATTCACTAGGTTGAGACCAATTTGTTGTGGTATTCGAAGGACTAGCTGTGCTGGCGGTGGTAGTTGAGGCTGATGCTGCGGCCGCCGCTGAACTGGGCGATAACAAGAGATTAAGACGTGGTTGCTTCTTGGGGCTGGGATTAACGCTATTGGTTTGACTGGAAAATTCTTCTGGGCGGGCACGCATAATGCGACGCGAGGTGGAGCCCGATGAGGGCGGTATGTTTTCTTTGCCCACCCTTGGCGAACTAACCAATGACTCACTTTCGGAAAATATACGCATTTCGGGTTCCTCACGATCAAAGTTTAGGCCCAGTTCGGAAAGTTCTCTGCGGAAAGAAGAAGAGATAAATAAAATTAATTCCGAATTTTTTATCTCATCAAATTGTTCGTTCCACTTACCTTGAAGGACACGTTGTCACATTGCCCCTTTGTGGCGACTGCAATAAATCAAAGTATGAATCATGCGACACGGAACGTGAATGACCCGCCGTACGTAAACTATCAATGGAATTCGAACGCACACACACCTCAATCGGTTTGCTTGGTTCGCCGCAATAGGAGCGTGACGTTTCAAAGAGCTCAATTGATTTGTGTTTCTCTTCACGTTTCATTAGAGCACTCTTCGAGGGCTTGCCATTGACACCAATTATACAGTCGGCATCGGCAAAGGTTACTTGCGGCGTTTCTTTGTGTCTGGGTGGTGGTGAGTGTGAATCATCGTCATCATCGATGCGGGCCGTTACCACAATGGAAGATTTCAGATCATGGGCTGCTCCATTGCTGACGGGTCGTTGATTGCGTGAAAACAGCGACTTCCAGCTGTGGGTCTTACGTTTTTGCCAGCTACGTGGCACCGACAACACCGTGTGATATTTGTCCGGCAAACTTGAGGGTCCACCACCGACCTCAATGTATGAGCCAATATTTTGTCCTGAATTTACACTAGATATCATGTTAATGGGCATTGACTGTTTCATGTCGAAACCATCGTATTTCAAATGCCTTTCTTGAGCCTCTTCTAAGCTGATAAGTTTGGGTCCGCCAGCACTCAGACTTTTGGGTCGCTCTACACAGGCAGTGCTTTGATCGTGTTCCCTTTGTTCGACCAATAAACTTTCGCAATCGGTTAGGGAATCCATGCGATTTTCAGCTGCTGCAGTGCTGGAGGAGGCAGCCCCCTGGGTAGCAATGTAACTGAGACGCACTGCAGCCTCTTCCAAGGCATCAAATATTAAATGGCAATTGCGGATAAGATACTCCGTGACTACAGCCTGGACACCGACACCACGCAGAGCGGCCACACCGCCCGACTCCAATGCTGGGGAACGCAACAAATTTGGTGCCCAAACAATGGCTAGATTTTTATCTGTCATACCGGTACGTTCCGCATATTGGGAAATTTTATTTAAATGTTCCGAGAGATATTTAAGAGTTCTAAAAAAAGAGAGAGGCTTTAGTTATTTGAATCTCTAAAAATATATTCAAATCCCAACATACCTGTAATGGGGTGGTGGCAGTTTCAATACCGTCTCCTTCATCAGTCTTAGCCTTTCGTTGCTTTCACTTTTTGCTTGTATGGCCTCAACAAAGTTATCGTACAGCTGATAGGTGCACAGCGGATTGGGCAGTTCACGGAAATACATTTTCAGCAAAGAACTTACAGCATGGATATCCTGTTTCATTTCTGGATTACCCAAATCTGGTATCCGTTCCTCGTCGAATGCCCGACGCAGTTTTTGAATATTCGATGTAATGCCCGATAGACGATAAATACCATCCACAATACCATGTTCCTCGATGAATTCGGCACAACATTTCAAAACCATTGGTATCTCCTGGCCACTGTTGAGCAGATGCTCTGACAGATCGCAAGAGAATACACGCTCCCGATAAATGCCACTCTGTTTAAGTCTTCGTCTGGAGGGTCGCGATAAGATAAATGATCTAAAGAAGGCAATAAGTTTTCCATGTTTACGTAGTACAGGTTTGGTTGGCGATACTTCAACCTGGCCCACAAGTGGTGCTGGCATGGGAAAATGTCTTGGTATCTTATCACCAATCGTGGCCACACATGATTGTGGAAAGAATCCAACTTCGTAGTGGGACTTTTGTAAATGCGACTTCTTGCCTCGCCACCAAATCGATTCGGCCGGCGAGGGCATATCTATGACAGATATCATATCTCCAACTTCAATGGAAATTTCATCTGAGGCCTGAGCCTGATATCTGCGCACACCATATGCCGCACCCACAGCGGGGGTGTTGATTGTTCTCATCGTATCATCATCGGCCAGTGGCAATCTTCTGCCCTTATTGTCCAATTGCAGCCATGTCAGTATGGTGCCACAGGTCAGCGAATCTGAGGCAATCTTTGAAAAACGTTCCAAATACTTGGCCACAGCATATTCGACTTCCTCCTCATTTTTAAAATCCACTTCCGAAAGATGTTTCAGGCCGCTTATTTTACGATCATAAACGCAACGATGTAACATTTCATCCAACATTTGCATATTATCGAATGAACGCTTCACGAGAAAGGGGTCCGATCGATGGGGGAATACTTTAATGATAAACCAACATGAGGAGGGCGAAAAGGTACGCAACGATGAGGGACCCTGTGAGGTGGAACATGTGCTGCCGGCTATATCACCGCCAATGGATTGTGATGCTATGCTGCTGTTTAATAATTCCGATTTGTCATCGACCAGGCGCACAGAGAGTGGACCCAATTGTACACGTTCGTAATGAAAATGGGCACAATCTTCGAGTTTGGGGAAACGACATGTTTTCTGAAAAGAGAAAGAAGGGGATATTTTGTTAAAATAGAAAAATTAAAATTGTTAAATATGGAAAATTAGGAAAATTTGGGGTTGGAATAAGACAAAATAAGAATGAGATTTTTTTGTGGAATGGGCAGATGCCCAGAATTTTTCTAGCGGTATCGAGGTTAGTCTTTCGATCATGCCAGGTTGGTTTCTTGCGAAAAATCTCGAATTATCTGGTAAATGTTGCTACAGAATGGGCTTAGGTGACAGTCATGGGCCGAATAACACTTGGATATTTAAGATCTATAATCGCAAATTTTTCAAATATACATTATTTCTACTAGTTTCAGAGTCTTAAATTCAACTTCCATGTTGGGTTCTTAAAAAAGTTTTAGAGCAATAATGGTGAACCTTTTATACACTCAGCCATATGGTTATAGTAGTATACAGGCTGAGATGAAAAAACTGAATCCAACTTTAGACTGCTGTCATTGTTAAGCCACTCGTCCGACAGCTTTTAAAATTGTTCCAGTGACAGCTCATTATTTTGTTTACAAGCGTACAAAGCATTTTGGTGAGAATTTTCCAGAAAAAAGTTATTCGTGATGGAATTCAAGCGTGATAGTGCGATTTCTTTATATTTGGCTGCAAAACAACAAGTGGCTATCGTTAGAACACTCCACCATTTAAAAGTGCATAAATCTTTTGTGTCTCGTAACATCACTCGTTACCGTGATACTGGTAGCGTAGGCCGACGTCAAGGAAGTGGACAAAGGAAAACAGCAACATCAGGAGAACTGGTTCGAAAAGTAAAAAAAGCAACTTGATCGAAACCCACGTGGCCGAAAATGGCTCATGAGCTGAACATATGAAAAATTAGCTCGGGGTAAAGCCATAGAAATTCCAAAAAGTGCAAGAACTTACACCGCAACCGAAAGATAGACTCATAGAGCCAAAGAGTTGCTTCACTTGGCCGAAAGTAGTGAACTGTCGAATTTGGTTTTCTCCGATGAGAAAACATTCGCTATCCAGCAGTTTGTAAACCAACACAATAATTGTGTTTACTTGCCAAAGAGGTCAGCTGAAAATGTGCACCTTCGGTTAGCCACCAGAACTCAAGCGCCGGTCATGGTGATAGTGTGGGCCGCCATAACAGCCGATGGTCGCTCTCCGCTCGTATTAATTGACCGTGGCATCAGAATAAATGCCGAATATTATCGCGAAAATATTCTGGAGGGTGTATTAAAGCAAACATTTTGGCCGCAGACCTTGGACATTCCAACAGGACTCAGCACCATCGCACTCAGCACGCGCCACCCAAGAATGGTTACAAAATGAAGTTCCTCGCCTTATTTTGCATCGCTCAATGGCCACCAAAATCTCCGGATACCAATCCGTTGCACTATTGTGTCTGGAGTAGTTTGGAAAGCAAGGTTGGCACTCAAAAATATCAAAATGTTGATCACCCCTAGCAAGCACCTCGCCGGAAATAGGCCAAAATACCGCAGAGCAACATTCGGGCACCTTGTGACGGTGCCAAAGGTGACCAATTCGATCAAATCTAAACCTATTCTAAAATTTCCGAGATTTTTGCTTTCATTAAATAAAATTAAAAAAAAAAATTTAAAAAATTATGGCGTTTGACTTTGTTCCAGTTTTTTTATCTCCCCCTGTATGACTCTCATAAAATCCGAAATAAGCATTGGATTTAAATTTCACACATCCCAATTTTTCTATTAACACAAGATCTGATGTGAAGATAAAATATACTGGACCACTCCTTCTGGTTCCTACCCCACATCGTGTCAATTTTTTCAATAATTATAACTCTTATAAAATGTGAACTAAGCGTACGATTGTCTTCAAATGTCGTACATGTTAATATTTCTACCAAAACCAGGTATGGTGAGAAGATGTGATAAATCAGTCCACTCTTTCTGGTACCTCCCCCACAACGGGTCAAAAATATGAATAATTATAACTTTTTTGCGAAATAAGTATCCAATTTTCTTCAAATTCCACATTTCCCAATATTTTTATTAAAAGAAAATCTGCTGGGAAGATGGAATGTATCGGTCCACTCCTTCTGGTGCCTTCCCCACAATGGGTTAAAATTTTGAATAATTTTAACTCTCATAAAATGTGAAAATGGCTTCCGATTCTTCTCAAATTTCACATAAGCCAACATTTTTACTGACACAAGTTGTGGTGTGAATCGGCCCACCCCTTCTGGGAGGTCCCCCATAAAGGGTTACATTTTCAATATTTCTAACTTCCATAATTTTCCAAACAAGTATGTGATTCTTTTCAAACTTTAAAGTCCTGACAAAACTCAAATTAGATTTTTTTTAAATCTGGATTGGTACTTTCAAAAAATTCCGACTTAAATATGTTTTTCTTTTATTACCTAAAATGACTCATTGCTATCTTTTTGTTTCGAATTCAATTGGCTTAATCATGATGCAGAGAGTTTGCTGTTATTGTTGTCCGTGATATTGAGATAACCAGAAATCTACATGCAGGTATCTACGTATATGTGGATAACTTTGGATCCGATTACTTAATTGACGTCAATCAAATAATGTGACATATTAAATACACTTGCCGTGTACATACGTATCTACAGATATTCAACCATCGACTCTTTGGAGAAAACAATGTAACATTTCGACAAGATAATGAAAAGGTTTCCTCTTCAATTTGAATTCATGCATAGTGAGCATAAAAATTCTTTAGACATGAGTTGAAATCTACATTGAGGTATTGTAAATCCAAAACACGTATTTTTAGAAATACATATCTCCAAAGAAATTGACAAATTGATAAAGTGAGGAGAAATTGGGGAATTGGCAAAAAAAAATTGAATTTAAGGCAGGTTTCTGGGTAACGGATGGTTGGTCAAATTTATGTGAAATTTAATTACAATATGTGTGAATGTGTGTGTGTTTCAATGAATAATCTTGACCTTACCCTAGGGATTTTTTAATTGCTGAGTAATGTGATGTGTACGGAAAAAAATGCAAATATGTGTGTGTAAATGACAAAAATAAAACTCAACACAAATTTCATGGAATACGCCCTCTCAACACAATTTTTAATTAAACTCCTGGGAAAAATGTTGGCGGCCCATGGTATCCTCATGCGAAACAAACACCACTCCTTTTCCGTGTGTGGGTTTGCTGTTTTTATTTATTTACCAGTATCCTGTTTTGTAGAGTATTTTAATTTTCTTTTATTACAAAGTCAACATTACCGCCACCCTCACTTAATGGCGGTTATTAAATATATTTCATGTTTTTCTTCGTCGTTCTTTTCTTTTTTGCTAAAATGACAACATTTTTCATATTTACACTACTCTAGTTGGTGAAAAAAGGAAGTAATGAGAAGAGAGAAAAAGTAGAGTAAAAGGAAACCAAACGACATATTTGTGTTAATATTACAACAGCAGCTCCAGTATCAGGCACCAGCATTGGTAGTGACAGTGGCAGGCAGTCAGCCAGGCCAGCAACATACTTAGTTTTAGGCACGTATAACATCACAATATTCATTGCTGTTGTTGTTCCGTTTTTTTTTTGTTGATTCCTCTCACAGACAGACAACGCCCCAAATATGGTATTATTTCCTTTGGCGCTGGAAGTTGAGCTTCCTTTCTTTCTAACATCACAGCCCCACTGAATATTCCCTCCCGCAGTAAATGGTATCCCCGGTTTTGTTGTTTACGCCTTTCACTGCAAATTGTTGCTCCAGTTTGTGTCCATAGTCTGTGGTTCATTTGTTTTCCTGTCATTACTTCAACACCATTTCCAAAAAGTGGGGAAAAAGATAAAGGACAGAAGGTTCCAGTTCACAACTTGTCCTGGGGAAAATTGCAGGACGATTTCATTTTCACCTATTTAGGGGCTAAAATGATTATTTCCAAACTTAATATAAGGGAATAGTGTCTATCACTTGTTATTAGTACGAGGATGCTAGAAATGTCGAGGTTTGTGGAAATTAGATAGAGATAAATGCACATATTCTCCATAATGTTCTTGATTTTTTTGGAATATTATAAAAAAGCGCCATATATATATATATATATCAATTTCGTGTCAGAGGAACATAACTTTTTGAGACCACTTTTAGGTGAATAAAAGACCTGAATATTAAAGCGATACAATTTACCATACATTCGATTTTATCTAAATAAGTGGCACATATGATTTCTGCTAAAAACACGGTGTTGCCAGCACTCCTAAATCGAGGCCACTTTCTTTACCACAGCTGATGTCGAGGTGGTAGAATGTGGTTTTAAGTGATAATTTGTCCTGTATGAATGAGTACAATATTCAAATTCCAGGCAGACTTCAAGCCCCACAGATGTAGGGTAAGATGAAAAAACTGCAACCAAATTCATACTGCTGTCATTTCTTAGCCACTCGTCCAACAGCTGTTAAAATTACTCCAGTAACAGCTCATTATATTGTTTATGAGCGTACAAAAGAATTTTGGTGAGCATAGAGCACTCCAGCATTTAAATGTGAATAAATCTTTTGTGTCTCGTACCATCGCTCGTTACCGTGATACTGGTAGCGTAGCGCGACGTCAAGGAAGTGGATGGAAGAAAACGGCAACATCAGCCGAAATGGCAACATCGAAAAGTAAAGAAGCGACTTAATCGAAACCCGCGTCACAGTGGCCGAAAAATGGATTTTGAGCTGAACATATGGCAATATTCCATTCGGCAAATATTTAATAATGAGCTCGGGATAAAGCAATTGAAATTCCAAAAAGTGCAAGAATTTACACCGCAACAGAAAGTAGTGAACTTCAACAGAAAGTAGTGAACTGCTGAATTTGGTTTTCTCCGATGAGAAAACGTTTGTTGCCCAGCAGTTTGTAAACAAACAAAATGATCGTGTTTACTTGCCAAAGAGGTCAGCTGAAAATGGGCACCTTTGGTTGGCCACCAGAACTCAAGCGCCGACCAGGGTGATGGTGTGGGCCGCCATAACAGCCGATGGTGGCTCTCCGCTCGTATTTAT